AAACGCAAGCGTGTTTGTATAATAAGCTGGATCGTCATTTGCATCTTTACGTCGTCATCCAACAAGCAACCACATTTTGAACCCGTTGGAACGAGTAGACGTCGACGTCTGATTGAGACTTTTTCCAAGCTGAACAGGAATTCCTACCGACGGTTCGTTTGGCGGGTGGTTGTCATAAAGCTCCCAAGCATGTGGATAAGCAGTTAGACTGATTACGTCGTTACCGGGCCAATGTCTATTTTAGAGCAGACGGAGTTGGCAGGCGGTGGTAACGAGGGCTGTCCGCGCGCATGCGCAAAAATTACTCGGGTTCCATGATGGCCGCTCTATAGTTACTATACTTATCCGGTCGACATCTTTGCGGTCCTCTGCACGGTGGAGGCCGACCCTCTTTTGATTTATTGGCTGTTTTCGGGGGTCCATTACGGTGTCGTGCCTGGCGCCCATCCGGTAGCAGACGATGCTAATGCCGTAACAATTCGCAGCGACGGCAACGCCGAGAAGAAAGCAGTGCCGGAAGACATTTTTTTACAGCTGCCCGCTTAACGGTTATCACCTCGAAGCCCCACCTCCGAGCCGCAAAACTACTTTATTTAAATATATAGTCAAAACTCGAAGTGGAACGATGCCCGCCCTAAACGTCGCTCCAATAAATACACAGTAGGTAGACGTCTTCATAGCATAGCCACTTCTTTTTTTACTGCCCAGGCTTCGAGTCTTCTCAATTTCAGCTTTCCTGGTATACGCACAGACGTAGTAGAAATCTCACGGTGAAAAACAACGAGCGAATGTATTCGACGGTTTCGCAAGACATTCCTCGGGAGAACCGGTCCTCTCAGTGAAACTTCCGAACAAATTCGTCCGTTGCTTTTCAACTTATGTTTTCTACTGCGCCTTGGGCATATACACACACACACATATATATACGGGGTGTTTCATCTTAATTCAAGCAGATTTATTTTCAAAAAAATACGTAAATACTCGCATTAGTATTTACGTGAATACATAAATACTAATGCAGTTTGGGCAGGTGCGTTATACAACCAGGGGGACACCATAAATGTGGCTAATCTCTGCGATAAGTTGGATAATTAACTAAACTTCCTTAATTAACTTTTTAATTAGTAAAAATAACCATATGGTTTTAATTAGGAACATGCTGAGCATAATTGGCGACGTACGCGACCGAAAGCGTCGCTGTGGTCGGCCTTCCATGATTGGCCGAACGCTGACTATGACGCCAGAAAATTATTTATCATGGACGGAAATAAGAGGAATGTAAGAACTTTTATTTTGACGGTGTTGGCAGTGTGCTTTTGAGAGCGCGGTGATTTCAAGCTTACACCATGCTATTTACAAACACCATCGAACTTGTTGTTTGCAAGGTAATGACGTCACAAGGGGGAACAGTAGGAGGGCGCCACCAAAACATCTCGCCGCTAATAGAAAATCACCCTATCAGTATATCCTGGAACGACTGGAAGCTCGTGGGAAACTCGGGGGCGCACCAAAGTTACCTCCCGTACAGCAGGAAGCTAATCCTCCGCATGTCACACGAATGTTAACTTTAGCGCTTGTCCGCGCTTCCTACGCGCTCCAAAAGTTTCTAAGATAGACTGATTTAGCGGTTTTCACTCTTCTTCATTGAAACTAACTCACGTTTTCAGCTTAAGCTTTATTCCGAGTGGGATCGTAGACCGACGCCGAAAATAAATAATAGACCCTTTTCGAAAGTCCGCGTCGGCGCCTGTCCGTCACTGCTCGCTCACATAGTCTGAGCACGTATTGGACGCGAGGCCTGCGTGCGTCTGCTTTTGGCGTGAACTCGGCTCGGCTCGTATTGGATACGAGTGTGGCGTCAGCGTTCGGCGAAGACTCGGATCCAGTCGCGCGCTTCGTGTCCAATCAATCGCGACTGCCAATGTTGCTTGACGAACTTTTGGAAAGGATCGATTCTATTCGGGGGTACATTTCAATAATTACGATGAAAACTCTTACAATGTCGAAAGTGGCGCTGAGTTGTGAGTCCAGCTCACAGCAAGTTACCGAATATGGAATAGAAAAAAATATTTTCCCAAGAAATTTAACTAAATCTGCCAGAAACAAAACAAAACAAAAAAAAAAAATCAGCGGAAAAAAAATTCGCGTTTGCGCGCAGATTCAAGCCAAACCCACAAACCCAGTCAGACGCAAACGGGCAGAGCCGTTTATACTGAGAGAGTTTGGCCGATGGGCGGAGCTTGTTGGCCGCTAGAACCAGCGGATTTCGCGATAACACAATATGGCGTTACTTCTTTGTCTTGTTCATTCCTGTGAAATCGCGTAGAGTTCCTATGAGGCAGATCCACAATATGGCGGACGGAAGTAGTCATCCCCCGGTTGTCAGACTACGCTGCTGTGGTTGTCAGACTGCCAAAATCTCCTTAAGAAGGCCAAACTCTCTCAGTATAAACGGCTCTGCAAACGGGATGCTTGTAGCGCCTGCCGGCGGCAAATATCTGAACTGGACTCGCGATGGCGCTGCGGAAACGGGTTTGAACGAGCGATTAAATACTACAAAAAGATTAAAAAGTAAACAAAAAGCCTGGGCAACACTGAAATCCCAACGGTCGCCGGTGCGAACCCCGTCGACAAATAAACGTTGGCCTTCGGGGTCTCGGCCGCTCTGTGCGAAGGATATCAATTAAGAGCCCCCCTAATTGGGGGTCTCGTGCGCCGGCTCTGAGAAACAGGCGCATGATGGATGCGATCATGTTCGGGGCTCTGGATCGGCCCCCGTTTGTCTTCGGAGCGGCTCGCTGTGGGGACTCCCTCAGATGCCCTCTCGACTTTCGCCTCACCATGGAGCGCAATTGAACGCCACGAGCCATCAACTCAACCGTTACATAGCTTTCTCGTGACGTCATAGACCCGTTTCGAAATTCAGACTGTCAGCTTTAATCACTATTATCATCTCAGTGTATCGCATCAGTCACAAAGTAAGTGCAGCATTCTTGAGGCTGACGAAAGAAGAAGTTCGAACGAAGGATATACGAGACCCGTACAGACCTTCGCGAAAATTGACTTCCGCGAGCTGCCACCTTTGTCTGCTGGGCTGTGGAATGCCTTCTGAGCATGCGCTGTAGCTCTCCTATGCGGTATATTAGACGCTGCGCATGGGTCCACTGCTCCGTGATTCAGCATTTTTGCCCTGGCCATGAGCGATAGAAAGTTCTATACGTTCGAGACGCTAGTACACCTCGGCGTATTAGACACAACGTGTGCGTGTGTTCGTTTCGGAGTGTGCTCCAATTAGCCTCTTGGCCCAATTTTGACCCTAAAGCCTTTTGATGGCAAAAATTGAATCAAGGAGCTTATTTCAAGACACCGCTTCTTACGTTCACACTATCGAAACTGAAGCAAATCAGGAACGAATTATGACGTGATCGAAAAACCAGTTTTCTTCTGCCATTGACATGCGAGAGTGACGGTGCCCGATGAGAAGCAGTTTCATGGCCGCCATTAGTCAAAAGGGAAACTGCTTACTAACTTCTGTGGAGCTCAGTGGAAATTCCTGTGCCAACGGTGTCAGCATTTTTCGCTAGTAACCTCAAATCCGCTTCGTCTAGTTGTAACACTGTTTCGTCGTCACTGTCGTCCGCAAACCATATTTGATATGTTTATTCCTCATCGACGAGGAAGTCACGGGCCTTCGCGAAACTTTTTCTTAAAGAGCCTCCGAACGCCAGAAAGATATATACTTATTAGTCCCAAAGTGGTAAATTCTTGTTTCTACTTCGATCTTACAATCACAGACAATACACAACAAACTTCAAGCACAAAAAAAAAATGTTCAGACCCAGCTCTTTGGGACATATGTGTCCAATGACAGGGACTTCTAGATATAAGTCACATAGAACGAGTAATGCTTTTTTTTATTTGCGTTAGGCTTAGTTCATTTTATATCAAACCTGATTCAGACCGACTATTTTTTACTATTTGCCTAGAATCACACTTACTTTATTGATAAACAGCAGTGGCTTGTTGTGGAAACCTGTTTTTTTTATGGGCTTTTGGTGACTTTGTAGCCAGCTGCAATGTGATATTCTGACAAATTTGCTTTTTTAATTTTGAAAATGAGGGACCTATGGGTCACTTGCATCTCAAAGAGTTAAGGCGAGCGGAATCACCTTTCCATTCCACGAGCAACCAAGCAGTCGCTTTAGGGTTAGCTAAAGATCGTTGGTTCTCATTACCAAGTCAGCGATCCCTAACACCCTAGGACTGACGAATGTCTAAGTTTATGTTCCTTGTTTATGAAGCGAGAACCAGAAGTACTTCAGAGATTTTGTTTGCACAAGCGCTTGGGCACAAACAACAGACTGCAAACTCACAACGAAAGAGGAGACTCTGGCATTCTAGCCGAAGTTTTAGATGCGCTGTTGATGTGCCATCCACGTCGATGGATGAACGGGTAACTAGTAAGGGGACTTTTACCAGGGTAAAATTCTCGTTTAAAAAGACAAAAGCGCCGCCACTTTTTTATTTCCTTAAATTGGTTGGCTAAAACAATGTATCTAACAAATGCTTGCATTCTATTTCAGCAAATTTGTGCCGTGGACACCGGACAAGAACTTTCCACTAATTAAGCTTCATTAGGTCTGGTGTCGCTGCTCGTATACAACGTGCTAAAATAATTTAGACGAAAAACAACTCCACTATTTGCCTGAATATGATTGGCCCACACTCTTTGCATGTTAAACAACGAATACTAATACGGTTGATCATGAAGTTGTTAGGCAGTTTAGGCAGGTTGGGGAAGAAGGAATAGAAGCGCGTAATTCGTACAGGATGAGGAACGACCCCGAATTCTTTTGTCGGACACAGCTAACATATTCGCGTTTGACCAAGCTTGAAAGACAAAATGAAAAATACGAACACACTGAATGACAATCATAAACAAAAACACTTTTCATGCCGTTTTGGCAAAACAAACGCCGGTTAGGCACGAACGTCTTTGGCTAAGAGGACATTCCGATCTTCTCCAGCTTCAACCAGACCCCATCTTGGGGATAGCAGAAAATCAAGGTAGATCCCAGATTGAGACAATCCTCCTGAAATAAAATTAAAATCAAAATTATTTGATTTCAGAAGAACTCTTTTGTGTATTATATTTCATATTGCATGGTATTCACAGGGTATCCCGCGTAACTTGAGCCAAGGTTTAAAAATATGTTGGTGTTTTTTAGGAAGACGAAACCAAATGTTGTACTTTGCCCAATTAACTAATTAATTAAAATTAATTATGGAACTTTTAAATATTCAATTCAAAGCAATAGTTCCAATGAAGAAGTTGTAGAGCGTCCTCAGATACATCCAAGTGAGTGGTTTTTATCGAGAAACCTCTAAAACGGTCCGTTTTTTCATGCTTCAGGAGATGTGCCCGAATTATGAAAAAACAAAACAAAACAAAAAACAAAAAAAACAAAAAACAATTTGTCAACAGCACCAAGTCAACAGTGTTCTATTCAGCATGCAGGCCTAGTTTATTCGAGCCACGGGTGAAAGCGCTGCAATTAAAGGCGCATCATGCGCAAAGTCACAGGCTTTTATATATATATATATAATTTGCAAACTTTTCTCGAAGCCAATAAAACAGACGATCTCAGAAACGCCTTTAGTGCACCTTTAAGGTGAAACAAAGTATAGTTCCGTCGAAGGTAATGCGACAGAAGAGACTCGGGAGTTTTTGTAGGCCGCGTTTCCCCCTCCGCTAATCCCTCCGCAACGAGGCCGCTACTGCGCTTGCGCGCTGATGGCCTTCACTGTGCAGTTCCGGGTATCGTAGCGGATTGCGGATAGCGTTGCGGGACGGCGAAAACAATATACAGAAACTCCCTATTAGGGAGTTTTCGTAGACCGCGCTACCCCCTCCGCTAAGCGTTCCGCACCGAAGAAGTCGCTACTGCGCCTGCGCGCCGATAGCCTTGACTGTGGAGTTCCCGCTATCGTAGCGGATTGCGGAGGGCCTTGCGGGACGGCGAAAACGATCTACGAAAACTCCCTATTGACACGCGTGTTTGCTGCGTGTTCTACGGTTCAAGTTAGCGAAATGTCAGGCACTTATGGTTCTGCACACAAGGGCCCTGACCGGACAAACTTACGTCTTATAAAATACTAAGTAACCCTTCAGCATCACAGAAAATAGAAGCGCCGTGTAACCACCAAAAGGTGCATCCGGTATTACATCAGTCTTTTTGCCAATAAGCTTCATTTTGTTGCTGCCGCAGGTTTCTAACAGTAGCACTAATAGAAGCAGTTTATTGTGACCAAGGGCATTAAAACGTTTAGCTAAATATATTGGAATACAAAGAAACGTGCTTACACGACCCAGGTAGCACGCATGAGAATCGCCCAGATTGACACAAGTTCGGCAATCCTATACTGTGCTAAAGGCTCGTTCACACACTTCTGAAGGCCCGTTCACACTCTTGCAATCGAGTACGACCAAGAGAGACGGAGGCTTGTTAAAACCTCTTAAAATTTCTTAGGACGAGAGAACACACTGGCACGCTGGCGCCATCTATACGGTGACCCTGGAACTGCATTTCACAAGAGCGAAGGTTTTGCGCACTGATCTCCACTAGAGGGGGCTCGATGGCGCATTGAGCAAACAGGTTTGAAGCCACCGGAAGTGAGCGGCTTGTCCCGGAAGTGAGCGCTTGGCAGGCTTTGTAACCCTTCCGAGTGCTGATTCTAAAAGCGTCGGGGGCGCTCTATTTTCGCTTGTTCCCTCAGGAGAGCCTGCTCCTTGCGTGGTTAGAGCGCATGCAGACCCGAGAAGTATCATGGGAAGCCATTCAATGTAAACATTTTGAGATTCTAGTTGATCGAGTGTGAACATGACCCAAGTTCAAATGCCTCATTCTCGGGATTTAATTCAGAGCGAGATTATTATAACCCAATCAAAGACACAAAAAAGCACGGTCCAAAATACCGACTGAATGCACTAGGAAGCCCAGTGCATGCCCGACTTCCGGGACAAGCATCGAACTTCCGGTGGCTTCACTTGCGCCCGGCTTGGAGAGCAGCTAAGCGCCATCCAGCCCCCTATAGTAGATATCAGTGGTTTTGAGGGATTTCCGAGGTCAAATACGTGTAGTACCTATAAGAAAGGCTTGATTATAACGTTGACAAAAGTTTTTCGAGCCAAGAAAGAAAGGATAGTGCGCGAGAAAAATAGAAAATATGCCGGACCGCAACGTTTACGCTGGTACCGAATAGATGGCGCCAGTGTGTCCTCGTTGTAAGAGGTTTTAAGGAACCCGGTTTAAGACGTCGCAAGAGTTTGAACGGGCCTTAGGGCCCGTTCACACTCTTGCAACCGAGTACGACCGAGAGAGACCAGACCGGTTTTTAAGCCTCTTGCGATCTCTTAGGACCAGCTCCGCTGCCGCGCATCCGGTCCTAACACGTCGCAAGAGGCTTAAAAACCGGTCTGGTCTCTCTCTGTCGCACTCGGTCGCATATATGTGAACGGCGCTTTAAACCGAGAACGACCGAGAGAGACAAGACAGGTTTTTAGCCTCTTGTGACGAGGACCGGTTGCGCTGCTGCGGAGCTGGTCCTAAGACGGAGGCTTGAAAACCGGTCTGGTCTATCTACGTCCTACTTGGTTGCAAATGTGTGAACGGCGTTTAACTTTGGGCCTAATACGGTTCTCCTCCAAGGCGTTAGTAAGTACCTGCAAGAGTAATTTTCTTTGGTTTTTGCTTTGACACGCCACAGAATTGCCAAAGTGCCAGACTTGAGTCAAAGAAGCCACGCGAGGAACCATCTGTTAAGCCTAAATTTGGCCTTTTTGGCACTTTATGGCAAAATGTACATGCATCAAAGCCAAACAACCAGAAGTGAAGCCTAACTCTTCAACTTGTTCGGCGATTATTACAAGCAGTGAAACCTAACTTTGGCACGTGTTCGGCCAATTAGGGCCAAGACTCCCAGATTATGGCATAAGAATGCCACATGTGGGTCTATCTTGGCTTCTTCGGACTTTTATACGCCCTAAATACCCAGACAAAAACCAAACTTTTGCCCAAAGAACTGCGCTACCTGTGTATTCTTATAATTCCAAATTAGAGTTCCGTATTTTTTAACCTCGATGATGTTCTAAATAAAGGTAAATATAGATCGCAGATACCTTGACATGTCTTTCGTCCAGCAGAAGCTTGTACTTGGACAGCATTTTTGCCAGGGTCAGTTTCATCTCGAGTTGGGCGAAGCGCATTCCCACACAATTTCGGGGTCCGTTACCAAAAGGCTGAAAAGCCATTGGGTTTAGGCCTCTCTTGTTCTCAGCACTGAATCTGACTCGGGGAAAAACATTCCGACGGCAAAAATTAAGAGATTTGCTGCGATCCTGGAGACGACTCAAGGCTCGTTCAGACATTTACGTCGACTGCGTTACGCTTACACAGCGCCTCGATCCCCGTTGGCTCGTTGCGAGGGTCGCCATAGCAACAGCTGTCATGACTGCTGTCGCCATGGCAACATAAGTCATAATCCAATCAAACGCATATGTGTGAACGAGCCTTCACTCGCATTTATTTATTTACTAAGAAATCTGCATCGCCGTCATGCGTAACTGCAGGGAGTGAGATTACAAGTCACTCGCAAAGTAAAACGTCTTTCATGCTTGGAAGACTAGCTCGAAATTCATCTTTTTTTCCACAAATTTACCGCATTAGTTTTCTATTCTTTCAAGTTTATTTAATAAATATTGCGGTGGGGCACCATACGACCGATGCGTATACAATACATCGACGAATACACATGAAATACAAATTTCCCTGTATTTGGCGTGAAGACAATCTACAATTTTGTCGTATTAATTAAGAAAATCTAGGAGATTGCGTAGAGCTTTTAGAAGAGTTATTACAACGAGACTATTCCACGCTAAGTCACTAGGTAGCACAATGCCCAAGTATTCAGCTTTTCAGCAACCCTAATAATTTCATTATTTACAATGTAGAAAGAAAGAATAGGACGTTGTTTATCATATTAGGGCATACCCATGCGACGTTAGTCGCATGGGTATGCCCTATTATGCTCATCCTTCAATTGTCACATCATAGAGACATTTGGTCTAGCTCATTTTGTGAACTGCTAACATCACGGGAATAATTAATGAATCAGCATAAAGCAAATATTTTTATGAGTGCATTAAACGATGCATTTTATATAAACCAGGAAGAGCAAAGGATCCAAAACATAACCTTGGGTAACACGAGGGAAGTGATAATTACATAATGGCGTTTAATTAGGTGGGATTTAAATTTTGCATGAGCAGATATCTCAAAACATAAACCTTAATCACTGGCACGATGATAACGCTTGGATCCGTGTGAAGTTCGACGGAGCAACGGCACGTTAGCCTCTATTGGGAGTATTCACTGGACGCCATATTTGTGGGTGCTGTCTAGAGCGCATGCTCAGAACGAGCTCACATCAATAGGTTGCTAAGGCCGGCACTCTTGATGGTGCGGAATGCACCTTGCAAAAGGACTGTGGAAGCTCACCATCAGCACGCGCTCAGCATTCGCGCACACAGCTATGGCCGCCAGTGAATACTCCCTATTGGGAACTGCATGGGAACAGCGCTTTCATATCTCCCTTGTCTTCAGCGAGGGAACTCAGGATTTTACGGGCTCACCTGTCGGGATCAAACTTTTCCGGCTCAGTCCACAAGTTCGGGTCCCGGTGAAGGTGATACGGTGGAATCAGAATACTCATTCCGGCAGGAATCTTAAGCCCATTGTATTCGTAGTCGTGCTGGCAAGTCCTCGTGGTGAATCTGGCTCACGGAAGGAAACCGTGAATTACTGGTAGTTGCTGGTCGCCTTGTTGACAATGAAACTGATTAATCTTGTATAATCGTGTTTTGTGTGTGTGTGTGTTTTTGTTTGTTTTTAGAAAACGATTGTACCACGTCTGGCTTAAGCATTCGTGATCATTTGGTAGGACGTAAAATTAGTCGTCTTTTATTTTCTAATACGGACACTCTATTTGCGAGTTTTTTCTTTCTTGGTTTTAGTATAAATAAACACTTTTAACGTAAGTTATAATTTGCATTACCCAATCGAGCATTTGAAAATAAAAGAGGAAAATTTATACTTTCATCGACATCACGGGACAGAAAACCAACAGTAGAAAATTTATAACTTCAACGTGTACCTAAGATATAGCTATAGTTTCCTCCAAAATGCTTAAATATCAGTAGTTACCGAAACGTTTCATGTATTTTCCTACAAAATGCTAAATGTCAAAAGTTACCGAAACTTTTTATTTTCACCCTTTTTTACTTTCTACTAATTTATTTCTAAGAACGTTGTCCTACATATTCGTTATCTTTTCTCTTTTCTTTTTTTTTTTTTCTTTTTTTTCGAGGTACGATTTTACGTTTTGTGATAATGGCGTTTTCGCTTTTTTAAGGCCCGTTCACACTCTTGCAACCGAGTACGACCGAGAGAAACGAGACCTGTTGAAACCTCTTAAAATTTCTCAGGACGAGAGAACACACTGGCACGTTGGCGCCATCTATGCGGTGACCCTGGAGCTGCATTTCACAAGAGCGAAGGTTTTGCGGGATTTCCGAGGTCAAATGTGCGTAATACCTATAAGAAAGGCTCGTTTATAACGTTGACAAAAGTTTTTCGAGCCAAGAAAGAAAGGATAATGTGCGAGGGAAATAGAAAATACGCCAGACCGCCAAGTTTACGCTGCTACCCAATTGATGGCGCCAGTGTGTCCTCTTGTTGTAAGAGGTTTTAAAGTTTTAAGAGATCGCAAGACTGTGGGCGGGCCTTTAGTGTGAAATAATGTGAACGCTGTGTGGATTAATGTAAACAAAGTTCACTGTACCCGGTGACCGGGGGGTAGAGCCTCAACGACTCCGAGATAACTTGATCCAAGTAGCGTATTCTGAAGACGTTGTCGTAGTTAAAGCTTCCCTGAAACATTAAAATACGAAGGAAATTAGGCCTTCTGCGATGTAATTTACGGAGCACCAGGTGGCACTTACCGCTGCAGTCGTTCGTCACATTAACAGACACTTTTGCGAAAGCTCGCTAAGACAGCCCAACTTATAACCGGCCAGCCAAATATTAGGTAAGGATATCTTCAATAATTTTCCAACAACGTCCGTTCGCCTAGCTATAAGGATAAAAACGATATGTCTATAAGCAGATGACTACTTCTTTAAATATCTTCTAAAATTGAGCGCAAATAAAGTTTCGTGGTAATGCTTTGATCAAAAACAAACATTTTTTTTGCCTCTGTATACGGCCTTGTTAAGGCCTTTCCCATAGGACTTGATCACTATGCTGTGTTTCAAATCCTGCTGGAGTGATTCGAGTCATTCCCGAGTGTCCTATCACGCGAAAGCACAGATAGACCGACGCTGAATGCAGAGAGGTTTTAGAATTCCAAGGTCCAAAATATTTTATTAGAAGCGTGATCGCGTAAATGTTGAACACGGCCCATATGATACAACCACAACAACTTCTGGGCTTTGTTTGCTGGGTGTGAAGCTATTACTCATTAAGTTGGTTGCAAAGCTTCATGCCAAGCACGGATGTCCCCAAGACTCGACATTGTAACTCGACGTAAGTCCTCATAACGTAGTAGAACATTGCAAAAGATACTGCGTAAATGTGTAGGGGGGTATTCACTGGACGCCATATTTTAGGGCGTTGTTTAGATCACATGCTTAGAACGAGCTCACAATAATAGGCTGCCAAGACCGTAAATCTCGATGGTGTGAAATGCAAGTTGCAAAATAACCGTGGAAGCTTGCCATAAGCACGCGCTCAGCAGTCGCGCACACAGCTATGGCCGCCAGTATGTACAGCGTTGTCCTAGCTGCTGATGTGAGTTTGATCTGGCTGTCCATTTGCACGTGCTCCCGCGCGAGAGACGCTAGGTAAAGCAACGCGCTCGCCCCAGTAGCTTTGACATCGTGGTACACTACGCCGTTTACACACTTGCAACCGAGTAGGACGGAGAGACACAAGACCGGTTTTTAAACCTCTTGAGACATCTTAGGACTAGCTCCGCAGCAGCGCGTTCGGTCCTAAGACGTCTCAAGAGGCTTAAAAACCTGTCTTGTCGCTCTCCGTCCTACTCGGTTGCAAGTGTGTGAACGGTGTAATAATCGGAGAATCGGCAACTTCTGCGAAATTGACGGCAACTTGTGGCTACAACAAAACACTGTGGCGGCAGGTTCGCTCGTCAGATTTCTCGGGCGAATCAGATATTCACACCACATGGCGGTCTGAACACAAAGCCATAAAAGTTACGCGACTGCGCTCGCACATATGGTGAGAGAGGGCGGAGAAGGCTAGCGGAAAGAAAACAGGAAACTGCTACGGAGGAAATACGGAGTACCGAAAGGACATGGTCAATGCTGAGGTGTCCAAACTCAAAAGGCGCGAATTTCGCATTCCTCTTTGCTATACTTCGTTTCAGCTTCGGTCCAGACGCAGCCGATGCTACAAGCGCGAGCATGTGGTCCAGAACAGTCGTGCATGCTTGGCAGAGATGCTGCAAGCCCGGAGCTCGCGCTTGTAGCTTTGGCTGCGTCTGGACCGAAGCTGAAACGAAGTATAGAACGCTAGGTTTGGCCGGGCTTTATTTTCGAGTCGCCACAAACGACGAGGTACGTGTCGCCGACTCATAAAATGCGAACCAGGGCCGGCTTGCTAGAAGAAGTGTCTCAGTTGAGACTGCTCAAAGAAAGCGCTGCCAAGGCTCGGGCGCGCGAGCGTCTGAGACTCGGCTTAAGCTCGAGCGCTAGCCTTGACAGCGCTTACTTTGAGCAGTCTCAACTGAGACTCTGCTTCGAGCAAGCCGGCCCAGGTTCGCCTTGGCAACAGCACTGCGATGTAGCACGCAACGCACAGCCTTGCTTGTGTGTGTCTCCCCATCCCTTGCAGGGATGGGGAGATAAAGAGGGGTGGGTCTAGGACAATAGTGCGGGAAAATTGTTTTTGGAATGCAACTATGCTTATCCATCCAAGAAATAATGGAAAAATATTTACGTCTCTCTCCAGTACGGCATTTATCTCGCTTCTTAGTCTGTCTTGGACGTCTTGGAACTTGGCCAGCAGGTAGCTGGTGAACGTTAAAGCCAAGCCCGATGTTTCAGAGCTGAAACCGAAACATATACAAAAATACGCTGTATAGCGACTCTCACAATAATGACTGGGTAAACAGATTTCAATGTTGCCGCTACTACAGACACTGTCAGTTTCAGAAAGGCAGGATTCGGAGAGACCCCTGCACCTTATTATTGCTTCGCAGCCCATCGGATGACAGCATTAGCATAAGAACAAAGAGTGATGATAACAGGCGACGCCTTGTGGCCCTGGAGTTGTCACTTCAGCGAGTCACCAACAGCCTAAAAACCCAGGGTGCAGCTTATCGTGTTCACACATCGCTTCGAGACTTATTCTTGGGCGCTCTTAACGGCTAAAACCACAGTCTTATCGACTGCGGACAGAGAGATTGTAGCTTTAGAGCCCAAAACACCAGCCATTAGCTAAAGAGTATCAAGATCGCGTTGGACTTTCAGGGCGCAAAGTTTCGATTTAAGAAAAAAATCAAAATTCTAACCCGGAGAACTACACTACTCGGAAAAAACGGTTTCAATTTGAAATCAAACGCGCAGAAAATGCCGCAAAGCTTCCGGTGAACCAGCCCTCCACTTGTAATTGGACGCGGGCGTCCCGACGACATCACTAATGTCTTCCTGTTAGAGGTCGAAGCGGCGCTGTTACAAAACAATACACTCAATCAAGGCGTTTTGAAACTGGTCACGACGATAAATAAAGTGAAATTAGGCTCGTGTCGTACAAGAGAAAATAGCTCGAAACAATTTGGAAAATTTAAAGGCTTTATTTGTGCCATTTGTGACAACGAACCTTTAGTAGACGACAGAAATATGAGCAATTCCGAGACAATAACTACTCGATAGCCTCTACAGAAACATTTCGTAGTGTTGATTGAATGCAGCTAAAAGTGCCAAAAACGAAAGTCTCTTTTTAGATTATCAGGCACCAGAAGGTGTCATAGTGAAGGTGACTCCCGCCCTTCCTGCCCCTAAATAACATTTGCATATAGTTCCTTGTACCATGATCACTGATACAAATCGTGAAAGAATAAAACAGAGAGGACGAGGACGGGAACGGGACACCTTTTGAAAGATGTCCTGTTCCCGTCCTCGTCCTCTCTGTTTTATTCTTTCACGATTTGTATCTATTAACCAACACGCTCGTTTTCAAATGTAACATGATCACTCAGCTCCGTGTTCTTTTTCTCCGGGGATTATTATCGTCATTCTTTCCCAGCCTGCTTGCACCTTCGCATTAATCCCGATTTTATTTGCCGCTTTCCCCCTCTCCCGCGCTCGGAGCGAGAAAGGGGACAGACCGAGGACTTAATTTTAATCAATAATTACGTCATTCCAAACAATTTCTGCTTTGTTTTACAAACATTTTTTTTTTTTTTTAAGTTGGCTACATTTAAATTCGCCAAGTCCCTCGATTTGTATAGTTTGTTTCCTCAAAAATAGCACGATCGACGCCAGCTTACCCAGCGATGAGGAAGACTTGCGCATTGGCCTCAACCTCGGCATTGGATAGGACCCTTCGCTTTCGACCGCTCACCTTGGCATCGGGTGTAACGAGGACTGTTCGGATATCGAGACAATCACTTTGAGTAGGGAACTCATTCCTCTCGCCTTACGGAAGTTCAAAAGCCAAAAAATGCTACGTGCACGGTCGGTGTACCCCACTAGTCTTGTTCAGAGCAACGCCGTAGTACGCTGCCTGGAACGCGTTTCCGACTAGCGCGTCTACCGCGCCCTCGAAAGTAGTCCCTCAATTTCAGCCTGATGACGTCATCAAAGAGTCATGCTGGGGCCGTCGCGATCCTGGCGGTGTGACAGCAGCATCTGTGTATGTGGCAGACGCCTGTTCTTCTGCAGGTCGCTCTCCAGCTTGACAGACGACGGAAGCTTCGGCAGCCAGGAGTAGCGACGTTGCGACGACAGCGACACTGGTGTTTGCTGGTACTTTTTTGCCCCGGCTCCTAGCAGCGACCACAAGGAGTGTGACAACCAACATCGTAACAAACCGGCTCCTGTAACTTTTGTTTTTCTTGCCACTTTTGGGTTACTTTTGATGTCTGCAGGCAGGAAAGGGCGTTAAACACACCAGTCGAAGCCGCATTCCAGGCACGTTCATTCTACGGCCTCAAGTGCTGTCAAAACACGGAAATGTTTACCGAGTGCCCCGCAACGCCAAAATTTGGAAGCGTGCGAGATTACCCAAAGAAATACGAGAAGAATGCGCTCATAGAACAGCGAGTGTGAGGGCGAGCTGCGGATAAGTAAGCGTGATGTAACACCTGAGACTGGGGTGTGGAAACATTAAGAGACGTTCGAGTCAAAGGAAAAGGTGACAGATTAGATAAATGTTAATTAACGGACCAAAAGCGTATTGGTGCGGGTCAAGATTGAAGAAAGAATTCACAGGGTCTCTGATGGTATCCTTAAGACGACTTGAAGGCGAAAGCCCGAGCGCCGATGCATTAAAGACGGACACTTGATTTACTTTGTTTCAAGTTCTGTTTTTTCACATTCTCTTTTTTTGAGATTCTCTTTAATTACTCCATACTTCTGTATAATTCCTCTTAATGCACTTTGATTCCTCTTAATTCGCTTTGTCGCTCTTCTTAATTTTATTGCCTCTAATTCGCCTGAGTGGTCACGTAAACGTTTTGATACCTTCCGTGTCGCCGACCTGCTTTCGCCAAGGACTTTGAAGGTCGTCTGAACGATGAGGCATATAAGGCTTTCGCCTCAATAAACAAGGAGAAGACGACACAACCACATCTTTCGACTAGCAACGGACATAGTGGAATTCCAAAAGCGACCAACCGATGCAATGCGGGAATATCGGGGAAAGGGAAAGTACTCAAGAGAGGACAGCGGATAGATACGATAAGATAAAATGCAAAGTCAGGTTGACAGAGTCATCTATGATTTGAGAAATTCACCTTCAGTCTTCGCCAGAAATAGTGAGGGATTAGAAAAAAATTTTGGCGCTCTTCCTGGCGAATAACTCTATGATCTCCCGGCCTTATTTGCTGTTATGCAGATATGGCCGGACAGATGTTTACCGGTATCAGTGTCTTGACGTTAAAAGGTCATTCGGTAGCCGTGTCCACAAAGAGCGCCTCCCTGAAGAGGTCGGTAACGTAAACATTGAGTGAATATGAGGAGCGAGATTAATAAATGACTTTAGCTGCGTTTAAGACGTTCTCCTATTGTAGCCTTTTTTCTTCGACTTGAAGGTTTCTTCATTTTTCTGCACCACAGTCACAGGTATTAAATTATGATTAAGAAGTGCTCCTCGGTTCCGGATTTCCGCAGTGCTAAATGGTAACAATAATCAATGACACTGAGGGCGAGGCAAGGTTGCCGAATCTACTTATCGTCCGAAAACAATTGAGAGGGTAGCTGATAAGAGAGGAAAGATAACAAAACCAGAAGTGTTACTGTGATAAGCCGCGAATCTTCGTGGCTATTTTTAAACACGCTTCGGTATTTTTAATTACTCACTTTTTATGTTTCTTTTCTAGGTTTACAACGATCTCTGATATTCACAGCATATGTAGCGCGCTTCATAATTTTTTTTTTGCACATACAATTACGTTGGAATATAGGTTCTTTTGTCGGTTTTCCATATTATAGATAATTGTTGAGTCACTCATGACATGTGTTGACGTAGCCGGTATACAGTTTACGTCAGACTTTGTGTGATGGCTGCTACAGTTTTTTTGTTGAAAATATATTACGTAATTAATTAAATGGAATATCTCACGCTTAGACACGTCGCCGTCGTAGTCAACTGTGAGCTTGTGGACGTTCACAGCTGCCCCTTCTTCAGTTTCTGCATTCAGCAAGAGCTGCAACAGGTCTTCTCTACGAGCCTAATAAAAAATATAATTAAAGATGCTGTTACCATAATTGATCATCAACAACAGTTTCATGACAACAAACGTGCTGTTGTTCCTGGTCGTTCATATTGAGCCAACTGTACGACACCGTACTCATTTATTCTTGAGGCTTTGTATCGGCTCAGTTAATAAAAAGCTAAGAAAAGAAAATGACATTACGGGAATAACGTCTTTTACTTCTCTGTTATACGATTTGTTTTACAGGCGTCACGTAATGTCTTATATTATTAACGTTATTTGATGTTGATAACTGGTAGTTTTTTTTTATGGTCAGCCTCAATATTTGGGCGTATTCGGCTTGTTTACATTCAGAAACTGCCGATCGTACCCGACTCCTAACTTATGTCCTGTTCCTCTGATTTATACAAGAATGTTTTCTACTGAACGGAAACATTAGCCGTTCAACACGCATTTTGCCCGAACCGTTGAATAAAAGATTTTGATGATTTTATTAAATTACGTAAACCCTACACAAAATTTTCAAGTTGCTGCTTTTTATAAAAGCGCATGAAGAGATGATCCTGATCAGGAAATAGCGCTTTATCAAGACGGGGCTAGAGATACCTGCTGGCCGAACAGTTTGCCCATGTGTTCTGACACCGATTAGGACATCTTGCATTCTTCTATAATGTAGCAGTAACCAACATCTCACCAAACAAGATGTCTCAATGCCAAAATGATATTTATTTCTGAGCTTCATTCCCTGTGTCTATATGATAGTTGCTTACGCCTACCGAGCTTTTTTTAAAGTTGCGTAAGCTTCGTAATGACATGCTTTTTATACAAACTGCACAAATCAAAAGCAAAAAAAGTTTAATAATATAAACTAATATTGTCAAAAATGTTCGTATTATGTCAAATGTTCAGAGAAAACTTGCCGCAGGGTTAGACCGCCGCATGTTGATTATTGGCGTCAAGCCAAAACTGACTTTGTCCAAGGGAAACTTCATAAAAAATTTACTCCACGTGAAATACAACTTCCATATGAAGGAAAACTCTGGAAAGCAATCTGCAAAGGGGACGCGATTATTAATTGAATGTGCACTGATTGAAGCAAAATTTTTTTTTAAAACAGATAAAAGTACTCGAAAGAGAGCCACTTTTGTGCGAGACTCGGCAAAGTTTATTACAAACCAATGAACCGATCTCACCAGCAAGTATCGCCACATCGCCGCTGCCACGATGCATTGTGGAAGCTTTAACCTGCGCAGCGGGGCTGCTGCGGTTGCGAGCGGAGATGCACTGAAGATTTGGCTGACGGCCAGCCTCGCACAGACAGCGTTTGCAGTGTTGTTCCATCTTATTGTTTTTCTTTTGCTCGATCGTTATGGCGGGTTTCGTGTGTTGTGTCCCTGGTTCCAGCAACAACAGCACCAGGCACAGGCGTGTCGGGTTTCATAGCTTTCCGGAGGACCGGCAGTTAAGAGAAGAATGGATCGCCAAAGTTCGCCAAGTAGGCAGTGAGGGACTGTAAAGGGTTCTTCACTTGTTCAAGAAAGCTAAGTAACCAACGTTCTGTGCGCGAAAACAAACTCACACGGATTCTGATTGCCTCGTTTTTGAGGATGGAACAAAACTGACAGAATCCGCGGAGTGACCCCCGGGTTGGAGGTGACGTAAACTCGTGCTTGCCTCCGATCGTGTTTGCGCCCCGGTGCGGCATCTCGTGTTCGGAACTCATTCGTAAAAATGCGACATGTCTTTGCCCTTTTTGCACCATTGCTTTTTTACGTTTACAGTTTTTCCAAGTTCGTAAACCAGAATGGACCACACAGAGCGAAATCATCGAGCTCTTTTTCATAGCCCTCGCTCACTCGCCACGTGCACGCGGGTAAGAGGCGCCTGAAACGTCATAATTAGACGAGACTGGTGAGCTGGTACCACCAAATGTTGGAAAACCTGAGTCGAAGGTAGAGGCAGCGAACAGAAACATGACACAAAGTAACATCGGTGAAGCATACTTCCAATGTGTAAACTGAGGCCTCGTTTACAAACATACCCCTGAAATTTTGCCAGAATAGAAAACCAAATTATGAACAATTAAAAAAAGCGCGCAGCGCGCAATGCGTTACAAAGCAGCACCAGCGGGATCTGAATGTACTCAAGGGCAAATGTTGCTCGGCATGTTTATCAGCAAACCAACCAAATATTTACGTTGCAAGTTGCAACACTACACGCTAGTCTTATCTTCAACAAACAATCTGGCGGGGCTTTCTAGTTACATCGACAAATGTCGGGCACAAATGTTGGCGCATCATTGGTTGTTCCTTCTGCCATTAACATGCGTGCCGCTGAACAGCATCGTGCCTCAATAAGGGCTTAATTGACCCGTGATTCGTTGCTCAAAAGAGGTTCAATAAACCCGTGGTGATATTGTACAATATTCTATTACAAACACTCTAAATGAACTTTGGGGTAAAAACATGAGACAAGCCGGTGTTCCTTCGAGTGGGCCGCGTGTTCAAACACCGGGGATCGAAAAAAACAGGCTGGACAGCATACTCATACGTTTTCAGGCTTTAAAAGAAGCGGAACACTTGTACTCGTTCTAGCGGTGTTATGTGTCAACGAGGGTACAAGGCAATGGCGGCAGCGAGGCCTTGGACCTGCCTGTACGCAAAGCCTCCACGTTTCCACCGCCTCCGTCGCGTCTGCGGACTAAAGTTATGGCGGCACCCAAGGTGGCTCGCTCAAATTCACGCATGCGCCGAACGGTTGGTGGGATCGGTCTATTGAGAGAGCCCTTCATCTTGCTCTAAGCTTTATTTGAAGCAAACTTTTTTATGCATCAATATCAATCTCCTCAATATAAAACTGAGAAAGCGGCAACAAGTTATCATTGTTTGTATGGCTAACTAGATTCTACGCGCCAAAAATTAACATAAAATGCCCAGCAATTTTTAAGCATTTTGCGAGATCTGACAAAGTTAATAAATATTTTTTTTTACGTCGAGACGATAGAAGAATTATACTTGAGTTAATTAGGCTTAAACAAAAAAACATGCTCGTTAAATGCAGGGAAAAACACGAATGAATGTCCCCCTCTATAAATCGATTCTTTCTTAATACAATCTTCAGGGAGTTTGAAGAAAGGTAAACCTACTGTATACCATAAGGTGTTAAGACGATCGAGTACTGGAACAAAAGTTTGAGCGAAAAAAACGAAGAGTAACATCACGTGCTTACTGAAGAGAAACGGCACCCAGCCCCTGAAACTCTCGAACTCGTGGTTCAAAATTTGGTCGTGCATCACGCTCAGACCGGTAATGCCTTGATTTTTCTGAAGGTTTGATTCTACTCCGAAGGCTGATCTCACGATCACGTCCACCGAAAGCTTTCGGTAGACCCGCCACATTTCGAATGCCTTGTCTTGGTCACTGAGTGAATCCACAACTTCCATGAACTCGTCGGTGCAGGTGTCCATCACACTTGAGATCTGCGTCGCGAGAACATCCATCAATCGATTGGTGACGAGCTATAAGCGCACCCCTTGCGCCTGTCAACAGGGAAACTATACGGAGAGAAACTAAAAGAAAAGGAGGTGAGAGCGTCTGGTGACGTCACAGCGCCCACCTCTGACTTGAAGGATTTTGGCTATACACACAGTCCACACTCGAAGAAAGAAGATGGCATCAAAGGACAAACGGCGGCATTTAGTCCCCTGAACTTCCATTTATACCCCCCGAAGAGACCATCTGGTCCGAGCTAGCTACCATGTGCTGGGGATTATCTACACTTGACAGGGAATAACCGAGAGGTGTGCGCCAGCAAAAGCAGCCACTAGTTATCCTCAGAGAGGGGTGCATGTGAATCTTTTATTCCTCGCTAGGAAGACATACTTGACATGTCACTTGTCTTTGGGACATGCGCGACTCAGCCCAGTACGGCTGAAAGTGTTCATCAAACTCGTTTTCTTCTACTGTGTCCTTGTCTCCTGTGCGCTGTTTATTGCTTCAAGTTCAGAAGAAACAGCTGGACTTCTTCACTGCGCAACGCTCGTTCAGACATTACATGTGACACTTACCTCCATGCGGTGTGTAAATGTGAGTTAAAGCTATTGTTGACTTCAAGGCTATGAGACTATCTCGCCAACAGTGATGTGTGATTTTTGACAAATCACATGGACCTAAATCCCCTTTGTGCATGCACATGCATATTTATCCAAACAGTATAGCATCTCTATACACTAACACATTTATTTTGTCTCTAAATAAATCACTTCAAGAGTCCATTGAAGACGCGCTTTCAGCACCGGAGTCTCGTAGTCACAGTAAATCGCCACCGCAGTAGCTAAAACTGAGCACAACTAGGGACTCGTCTCTGTGTCTTCCCGTGACCAACCTTTCAAGGTAATCCTATGTCGATTTCAAAATCCGCGACGACAAACTTGATTCACGGCACGGTACACTCAGAACATTCAGGGATAGTATCTTTCATGCCGTCGTCGCTGTTTCAAAACTTTCCAAATCAGCAACAAAGAACTAACTCAATGCGCTCGCAACGTCAGCGCATGGCAAAACGGATGCGAACTAAAAAAGAAGAAAGAAAATGCCCGAGAGAATTGGGGAACTTGGCAAAGGGAAATAATAATAAAAAACTATAAAAGTAAAACCGGAAAAACGAGCGCGTTTGCCCAGAAATAAAGAGCTCCAATCAGCTGTATCTTTGTGTCACGTGCCATGTACGTCATTCGTCCGTCGCGCTGGCTCGGGAAGAACGTCCAGGACGGGCTGGGTCGTCTCTGATTTTTGGTCGCCATTTTTCTCCCTCGAAATGGGATCGCGGCATCCGCTTTGGATGTTTGAATCCGTTCTAAATTTACATATGTCAGCCGAATGCAGTTTACTGCGTAGGTATATTAATTCTGCGCTTGAGAATATGTTTTCCTTTTGGCGCGTTCTCGAACTGACGAATCCCGCTCTTTGATCTGTTCTTTTTAGGAACCACGACTGCTGAGTTTGTTTTGTGGCACAGATGACTCGAGATATCCAATTGCATGCGCCTACTTCATAAAAGTGAGCGAAACGCTACTTCTACTGTAGGCTTCTTTCTTGTGTTTTTCAGACCCTGACAACGGCCGCTTGACCATAATACGAGAGACTTTTAGTAGGCCGTACGGTAAAGGTTCACGTTGCTATTGGGAGCTTGTGCCGCCACTCTAAATCATGTGGTAAGCATGCGCCCGCTGCCAATTATTCACTTATTTTTTTTTTGTGAATCATTGCAACACTTCGGCCGCCTACTTGTTATTTTATTAAGATTGTGGTATCTGCCATATAGCTTTGCCGAGCGATTAGCTAGTCTTATTGTCGGTGTAATTAAAATCCTCGCGAACAGAAAAGAACTGTCGGAGACCCAAGAAAAGGTGCTTGAACCACGACTGGTTTGGACTGACGTCGCAGTGTCATTGTCGACGCAAGTCCAACCTTGGAAATTCGGACTCACCGTGGATTCTGCCGCTCAGAAACTTCGACTTGTGCCATCCTTGAGTGTGTTGTGTATTTATGAAGCAATAAAGCTACGTTTGACTTGAACTGCAATATGTCGTTTCTGAGATCGCAGCACAGCGACGAATAGGCCTGCGCGATTCACATTTCTATACTGGAGTACAACTTCTAGTCCAACAGGACTAAAAACGAGGGTGAAAATATACTGACCGGGGATCAAATGTAAAGGACTAACATGCACTCCTGAGGATATAAATACAAGTATCAACGGTTGGTTAGTCCTAAAGGTTTAAATACAAGGACGCAACATCTAGTCCCAGTGGTCTAAATGAAAGTGCGCAACATTTAGTCCCAGGGTTCTAAATGCAAGGGCGAAAATGTTAGTCCCAGAGGGAACAATGCGAGGGAGCAAAGGTTAGTCCTGGGGCTCTAACTTTGATGGGCTAACGGGAGGGGCGGAACCATTGCTCTCATCCCCGTTAGTCCCCCAAGGGACTGATGGTGGTTGCAGCGCCATTGCTCCCAAAATGAACCAAGTCGCGCTTTCCTTTTCCTTAGAGTGTAGCTGCCTTTAAATCTGTTCGATTCGCCTAAACTGAATCAACTAGTTCAGGAGTGTTCGGTAATATCGGGCGTACCTCAAGGCAGTATTTTAGGACCTTTCCTTTTTAACGTTTATGTCAATGATATTGTGAACATTCACCAGACAACTAAATTTGTTATATATGCTGACGATGCGACGCTTCTTTTTACTGCTGATAAGGCACATCAACTTATATCTATGGCCAACACAGTACAAGATAAATTAGGAGTATGGACCGATGAGAACGCTTTAAAAATAAATACTAATAAAACAAATGCTATGATATTTAGGCAAAAATAAAGTTATTTCTCCATTAGAACACATGTTATAAACTCGGTAAATATTGAATTGGTTGAGTCATTCAAAACGCTTGGCGTTGTGTTTTCACAAAACATGTCATGGGACCATCATATTGAGCATTTATAAAATAAACTAGCAAAGGTTGTAAGTCTGGTATATCGGAATCGATATCTATATCCGAGGTCGGTTAAATTATTACTGTATAAATCTATATTTTTTGCTCATTTAAATTACTGCCACCTTGTTTGGGGTACTACCACGGCAACAAATCTTAAGATGATATATTTACTCTAAAAACAAATGTTACGTACAATTGCTCATGTGCCGTTCTGCTCGCATAATGAAAACCTGCTCAGATTGTATAATATATTAAGTATCTACAACATGTATAATTATAGGGCTTCTACAAAGTATAAACATGAATTGTGCAGTAACCAACTTACATAATTGAACTGTCGGGTTTAAACCAGCGCGTTCCCAATTATCAATTTCGAAACCCTGAATATACTGGAATGTACCTAGTTGCCGATTAAACCTAGGAAAAGAAATGTTATGCTACAGATTACCTAAACTGCTTAATTGTTTTATTCACAGTGATGTTCACGTTGACACTATCAGCATAAAAGAATTGCGTGCGTTGACGTGCCATTTTGTTGTAGACGACTAATGTTTTTGCTGTGTGTGTGTGTTTGTCTCTTATCTCTCTCGCCTTGTCACTGCGGCAGAATGCAATTTGGGGCCGAGACCTTGTCAAGGCGTTTCGTGCGGCTTTATTTCTCGGCCTCCACCATTGAAAATGGAAAATAAAGATTATTATAAGAATCTAGAGCATTCAATTTCACCGAAAATTACAAGTTCGCTGCACTGGCGCATTCCATTCATTCCAGTTCTCGACGAGTTGAGACGCTGTTCCTCAAAACCTCGCACTGGCTCCGAAGTCAGTCCAGCGTCCGTGCAGGAGCAGACGATACTCTTAGTCCCTGTCTGCTTGCGGTGCCGTTCTCGGAGCTTTGCTCAAATGTCTGCGACGCTTAGAGTGCACAAAGCGCCAAGACGGAGGTTACATTTCATTGATGAAATAATGCGCCCATAGCAAACGCGGAAGCCAGTTATTAACATAAAATATAAATTAGCTTGATTGTGGTATTGTGAAAGCGTTTACACACTTTCACGTATACATTTGGCTCCCTGTGGTATGTGTTAAATATTGGCTCATGGCAATTGTTTATAAACTCACATACTGTCGTGATCACCTAGTAGAATATCCTTCTGTATCAACTTGGTTTGCGTGCACTTTTAAGAATTACGCTTATTACTGCAATTATCGTCCGAAAGTTTAGACAAGAACTTTCCATAGCCCAGAAGTCCGATTATACAGGTTTGGCGAAACTATGACACTCACTTTTTTCATGTTGCTGGAGGTGAAGGCGGGGGTCAGGAGACTTCTCATCTCCTTCCACCGATCTCCATCTACATAAATTAACTTGAGCTTGCTTTTTTGGTGTTCCCTGAGAATTTTTGCTGTGACCTGTAGGCGTGAAGCTCATGTAAACTACTAAGCACATATGTCCACAAGTCCCCAATAGAGTATTTTTATATCCCTTTACGAATTTCTATGCAAATTTAGGAAATGCAATTTTGTTTATCCTCATTTTTTGATGGGTGGAAGTCGTACAGAAGGACGCCTATACTTGAACGTGTTTAAACATATATAGACATCGCGTTATTCACCTAAATGCAGTGAACAAAAATAGTAAGTTAGCAAAGAATAGTTGAAGAGACGGTTAAACCGTTTTTTGTAACTCACCCCCCTACCGTGAAAGTTGCCGAAATCCTTTATCTGAATCTTCATGATCAAATCCAAATCTTTTACAATAAGCATGGGCGTGACTCCATTGTAAAACCTGCGCCCGTTTTCAGCGCAGGAGAGAAGAAAGCAAAGACATTTCATGTTTAAACCGCTTTTTTCTTAAGCTTATATCCATCAAAAGTCGTGATTGTCACATTGATATCTTGACAACTGATTGTACAACATCAAAAGCAAGTATTGTTTTTACGTATCGAGTCGTTTGTGGCCTAAATTAGGGTTAATCTGCTATAACAATATTTGTTTGAAAAAGTACAGCTTACCCTACTATGTCTCCGTACTTATTAACCCATTCTTCGAACAAACGCACTGCTCCCTGGAACACGACAGGAAGTTAGCGAGACAAAAACTCATTCTTACAATCGAGAAAACCACTCTGGGATGTATCGAATAGGTGTTCCGCGCATGTCTTTGGTGCCATACTCTTAACGACTAAGCATTCACAGCCATGGTAATGATACACCAAATGACATGAAAAACCGATTGTCCACACTGGTTTATTTTTGTATGTCTGTATCTTCCAAAGCCGCCTTAAACATCAACAGCAAGATGCCGCCTTTACTTTTGCTATGAAGGCGAGTACAGGTCAGCTTGGGCCAGTACATTGTGCCTTTCCTCCCTTTTCTTCATCACCTTTTAGGCACTTATTTTGGTACTTGTACACCTCCTCTTGTTATATTTATCTCGATGCAACCACATCAGGTGTTTACATAAAATCATCACCTTATTCAGCAAGTGTCACCAGGTGAAAATATTCAGTGACACACTTGGTGTCGCCTAAAATTTGGAAGGGAACAACAAGTCTACAAACATTAAACATAATTAGAGGCTTTTGTGAAGAGTATCGTCCGTCCATTTAGGCAGTTATCCAGTGAAACTTTCATTTTATACTGAACCAAACAATGTTATTGGAAGAAGAACCCCCTCCTAGATAATTCCTATCTCAAAGCTGGTTGCTGAATACAAGGTTCTAACAATAGCTTTATAATAAATCACGAATCAATTGATGACTAATCGATTCCGACTGAAACCAGTGTAGCACAACACGAGATAAATATTAAGGAAACGAACGTACACTCCGCAAGACAGTCTTCTGTTACATGGCTTCTACTTGTGAGATCGTTGGACATTTACCTTTTCAATGAGCTCAGATATGTTTCCGGTGAACAGACTAGGTGCCGGACCAGGTATTCCAGTGTTCTTGAACAAGGAAAATCGCTGCCGTCTCCGCCTGTTTAAACATCATTTATTTTATACCTTAAAAACAACATTCTGCAATGCTTTCGAAAGTTAATATTAAGTGTTTAGCCCTATACTTGCAGGTTTTGTCTCCCCATACAGAACGCAAATCGTGTTCTCAGTAACGCTGTAGCATGCTCTGTAAAGTCTTTTTTTTTTATATAAAGGCACACTACTTGATAGGAAAGTAATTAATCGATGTCTGCATGCTCTAAAACTATGACATATTTCTGCAGGTGTACTTTTTGAGAGACGGCGCTACTCGGTGGCACCTCGACCTCGCACCGTGGGGTCACTCTTTTTGAGCGGCCTGCTCGGCCTTAGCTTAATGAGAACTGCGGCTTCTAGATAGCAGTGTTCGCGATAGAGAGCTGTAGATTCGCCATTCTGCAATAACGAAAGAGCATATCAAAACAAAAGTCGCCTAAAAACTATTTAAATTTACACGCATTCGAAAAGGCAGACCTCAAGATCAAACATTGTTTTCATCGCTTGCTCATACGTGCCTCCCCAGAATAAATAATAAAAAAAAATTACAGCCCAGTTGTTTGGGGCAGAAAACAAACTAGGAGTGAAACAACACGGGAACGCGTTCTAGCATACTCGGGCGTGGCATTCAAATAGTGTATCGTAAGCAAAAACACAGGAGTCCCTGGTCGTCGCACGTTTTTAATAACATGCCACCATAATTAATCGTTGGATTAACTTGTCGTGTGAACTGTGATAATGGGTTCGCCAGCATTTGAGACTCGGGTGTTTTTATATAGCAAGACCGCAAATCTCAATTGCCTTCGAGGAGACGTAGATTTTTCATTTTAAAAGCTGCACTCTCCAAATTCTACCACATATCTCGATAATAAGTATAAACAATATCATAAGTATGCTCGAAGCGTTGCACAATTGGAGCTCTCGTGAAAGTTGCTTCAGGTGTAAAACCGATCGTACATCAGCACTGAATGAAGGTAAGGCAGTTTTGATTGGTCATATTTTGACGTTCAGAGTCAAACACGTTTCAATGTACAGTAGCCCCCCCCCCCCTCCTCCCCCAATACAAAAATAGTTTTTTTTCAACACCCTAATAAACTAGGCTTGTTAAAATGCTCAGTTTCCGCCCAAATACAGCGCCTGCAGTTGAAACCAGATGCCAATATTAGTTTTATAACGAACTATTATATTTATTCGAGAGTTGGAAGCGATTTTCGAATATTCTCCATGGGAAAATTATTGCCACCAGAGCACACGAAAATGTGCGGTTGATTGAGTACCGAAGAGCCCCATTTTCTCATTAAACTTTACACGTATAACGTTTGAGCAAGACAACTGTTCTGAAATATTGGCGTCTGGTCTGCACCGCTAGCACAACATTTTGGCGGAGGGGATGTATACTTTATTTTTAGGGAGAAAATAACGCAATAAAGTGCTTTGGGAAACACGTTTTAGAGGTAGGAGGCTTTCGTGGCATTTATTTATTTATTTACCTTAAAGGTCTTCACGGGCATTACACAGGAGGGAACATAGTATAATAATTTGAGAGAACCAAACCCAGAAGCAACGCAGACCAGAAAGAAAAAAAAGATGCATTGTAGCTTTTTCTTATTATTTTTTTTTAACTGAATACTATTTTTAGTTTTGCCTAGCTTTCTTTTTAGCTCTGACTGTCTAAATGTTGTGTTTTTCTCCAACGGAAATCTCCGTGAAGTAGCGTCTGGTCCGCCGCCAGGAATTTCTTCTTCGAAGTCTGTGAGCACATAATGACCGGAACCAGCCCTAAGTTGGGGACGAATTTGAGCTCAACTCGCTTGCACAAGACGCAGAAAGTTTCTCACTCATCCCCTCACATGGCAGCAGCGCTGTGAGGAGAGGATGACCTCAGCAGATCTACGCTGAGAAGGTTCTCGGAGCGATCATTTTAATATATCTTCTTTTTGAGTCGACCATCCCAATGAGGCTCGAACTTCTCATGAAACTAGAACAGGTGAGGGGAATACTAGCCACAGGCCACCCAGTTGCAGATATCCTCTTTCGGTCTTAAAAGCCGTTACGATCAAGTCGGTACTCTCTTCGGGGTGGGGCATGGCAAGCAGAAAAACACAGAAAAGGGGAAAAAATATTATGTATATACTAATCTCAGATAAACAACAGTATGCACACCGAAATGTCCTCATTTGAATGAAAAGGAAAAAAAAATTGGGGGACGCTTAAGCTTCGCCTTTAAGAGTGGAAGGCGGTAGCGTTATCGGGCCCCGTTCGCAAAGCCTCATAATTAACCCGCGCTCGTTCCTGAGCCGTGCAAGCGTGTGTGCGTGGTATAGTAGGCAGCGTCACGTGCCACATGTTTTCGAGTAAAGGTTGGCGCCAAATTTGTCGGATAAAAGTTCCGCTATATTTGGCGGGAAAGTTTTCCGCTAAATCTGGTGGGAAAATTGCTCGCTCTATTTGGCGGGAAAAATTTTCGATAAATGTGGCGGCAAACGTTTCGCTAAATTTGGCGGGAAAAAGTTTCCGCTAAATTTAGCGGAAACTTTTTCCGCCAAATTTAGCGGGTCGATAGGGTCGTGACGTCACACATGACTGCGCGCAGTTGCATTATGGGATCTTTTTTGGTCCCAGCGACGCCGACGCCGGCATTTTCGCGACACGAGCACCTAAACGCTCTCCCGTTAAAGATAAAATTCGTTCCCTCGACCATGCCACCAACTTTACGCAGGGAAGTGAGATTGCGTCCGGCGGGCCTCAGAGGCGTGCGAGACACTAGCACAAGCCAGACTCTGCGTGGTTTGTGGCAGTTTTTTAGTTGTGCACCGCAGATATTAGCCAGGGCGATACCTAGCGAAAGAACGCTCCGCACTGCTCTTGCATGGCTCTCGCGTAATGCGTGACGTCAATGAGGAGAGCGGACACATTGTATGACGTCACACCGCTCACGTTCTGCCGGAGCCCAATCCTTCCAGGGATACTGCGCTACGCAGTTCGCTGTAGTGTCCGAGGGCTAACGCACCGACGCAGGTTCGACCCCCGCTGGGGCTCGAAGATTATGCATATAACCCTGAAGTATGTAAGGCTCCCAGTGTGTCCATTTTTCGTGACCCTCGTTCATGATGATTTCATCATTTAAAAAAAAAACCTACTGATAAAATATATTCCGTGTTTAAAACAAAAAAGCGCGAAGCAAGGAGGTTATAATGGGCAGGAGGTGGAGTCCGTATTCACTATGCACGAGGGAAGTGGAAGGGAAGTAGGCGTGGCCACGAATTGCCTTCCTATTCTCTCGGCTAGTGAGGCGATTCATTTCCTGTATTTTTTTTTACAAAGCTTTTCATTTTTTATTACATTTTCAGGCAATTTTCCAAACTCAGTGAACGGACGCCGCCATGAAAATATGGGGCAAACATACGCGTTGCCATGGCATTGCCGTGGCAACGTGAGTGTTTGCCGCATACTTCCATGTCGGCGTCCACATAATCAGTGTCGAACAGGCCAGATTTGGAGCCCAACATTTGCCTGACCAGCGTAGGAAGTCGGTGTGTATAGGACGCTCTCGTCTCCGCGCCGCGCGGTTTTGGAAAGCGAGCATGTCAGTCGTCGTGCGCACGAACGCAGAGATTGGCACCGCAGGTTGAGAAAGTCCCTGCTTCCAGAAGGTGTTGGTTTCCTTTTGCCATGATGAGAATGCAAGTTCGCACCAAAGCTTCTTTTGGTGCGCCCATCTTATCGAAACCCAGCCGCGAAGGCGAGCAGACGAAGCAGACCGCAGGCACAGAGCAGGCGTATAGTCTAACCCTAACGCAGTTGACCGAGCGGCGAGCAGTCCATGGACCATGGGAGCCTTGGTTGGATTTAGGTTGTATAAGAGCGCGTCGGTGCGCAAAGCAGTCTGGGATTGAATGTTTTTCCGGCGTCGCTGGGCATGACGTCATGCCAGGTCCTGCCCTATTTAAATGTCATTGACACAAGGTTAGTGCGTATCGGGTGTCCCCAAAGGAAAGAGAGGCCATTCAAGAACAAGTGAAAGAAATGCTCAACGGCGATACCATCTTGCCTTCAAGCAGCCCGTGACCTCTCCAGTCGTCCAGGTGAAAAAGAAGGACGGAACGCTTCAATTCTGCGTAGGTTACCGGCGGATCAACGCGGTGACGAAGAAAGACGTGTATCCGCTCCCCCGCATCGACGACACACTGGACCGGCTGCGCCATTCCGCCATTCCCACTACTTCTGACGGCCCTAAAGAGTGGCTTCTAGCAGGCAGAAATTGACGAACGGGACCGAGAAAAGGCTGCCTTCATCACGCCCGATGGACTGTACGAATTCAAGATGATGCCCTTCGGACAGTGCACTGGGCCAGCAACTTTCCAGCGTGTCATGGAGACCGTACTGGCAGGCCTCAAATGGCAGAGCAGTCTCGTTTACCTGGACGACGTCGTGGTATTCTCGGTAAACTTCGACGAGCACTTGCGACGCCTTCGGGCCGTTCTTCAAGCAGTGAGGACCGCCGGACACACAATCCAGCCGACGAAGTGTCGGTTCACCTAAGGCAAACTGGAGTTCTTAGGCCACGTTGTGAGCAACGAAGATGTTCATCCTGACCCCGAAAAGACTCGTGCCGTAGCGGCATTTCCACCGCCCACCGTCGAGAAGGCCGTCCGAAGATATATGAGATTTTGTGCGTACTACAGGCGGTTCGTTCAGGATTTCGCCAAGCTTTCTGCACCGCTCACACAACCCACAAAAGACGCCGTGACCTTCGAATTGTCAGAAGAACAACAGGGATTCGACGAGCTAAAGAGACGACTCCAGTCGCCACCGATTCTTGGCCAATTAGATCAACCAGCCGAAACAGACGTCCCCATGGATGCCAGCAAAACATGACTTGGCGCGGTACTGGTCCAACGACAAGGGGGTACCTAGCGCGTGATTGCCTAGTTAGGCTAGTCGGACGTTGTCGAACGCGGAACAAGATTACTTGACGATCGAGAGGGAATATCTGGCCGTCGT